GATTGACACAGATAGACAATGAGAAACCACGATTTCTCGCGCTATGCTGATCACATACCTATAAGATGTTTAGAAAACTTAACTGAAAACTTTTTATTTTAATTTTATTATATCTAAAAAGGTGCGCTGTCGATAGAGATAACAATAAATAATCGTACATATCAAGAATAATATCACTTATCACTAATATACTTTCAACATAAAAGATGGCGGGCCTCAAAAATAAATGTACAATAATTTCTACCATTTGGCCATTTATGCCCCGATTCACAGCCAAAACAAAATGCCCTTCAGCTTTTTAGTGAAGGGTATGAAAACCGCACGCTGTACGAAAAAAGGAAACAGCAGCAAAAAGTTAGAAATATGAAAAACAAAACATCACAAAATTAACATATAAATTAGCACAACACAAAAAAAATCTGCTGATGTAGGTCGTGGAAGGGGCGCATGCCTGCCTCCCCTTTGCATTTATTTGTTGTGTAATGTATAGATGTAATAATTAGGAACGTTTCGTAATAATTCCTTAATTCCAGCAACTTTAATAAAAATTGGAGACACCTTGAGCTTCATTCTGGCAGTTGTCTGTCCGTCGACATCTGCTAGTTGTAGCGACACAAGCTAATGCAGCAAATACCTTGACACTTTTCTGCGCAATTTAGTTAATACTCGTACATAGTCATAGCAACAGCAACAGCAACGGTAACGGCGTCGGCACTCATCTGCATAATTTAATTACATTTAACAATAACAATACATGCGCGAACACACACACGCAGATACACAAGCCAAGTACATACATACATATGCCATTACATACATACGTGCAACGTTATGCACTAATAAGCGCAGAACGTGTTGCACTGCAGCAGTCGCAGTCGCTGGCGCTGTCGACGCAGACGCCGACGCGGACGCGGACGTTGCTGGGATTCCCTGCCGCGCGATCCCTTGTGATGGCACGCGATGCCGTGTTGTTGTCATCTGGTAGCTAACTGAGCATCGAAGATGGGGCACAGTGGGCTTTTTGAACCTTCCCCAAGGTGGAAATTACATCTTCGAAACTATAAGAGACACTTAGCCTCAAATCAATTGGCTTCGGAACAATAATAGGGCGCATAAATACTACTTTTGCAGTGAGTAAGAAATTACATACCTACTCCTACATGGAATAAACAGGGAAGAATAGCTTATATACTCTTAAGTACAAGTAGAAGGATAAACACATGTTATGTAATTTGATTTGTTCTTTTCTGTTGTCTGGTAATAGTCATTGCCATACCAGCTCTCATTAACCTTAGACTATATATATTTTCAAGAGGTGCAAGTTCAAAAAGTATCCGCTCAACTGAAATATCTAAATACATTACCTAATTCGCAAAATTCGGCCTTAGGCTTAGACGTCCAATATTTTTTCACCTCCGACTCTCAATTTCTTGAAAACGTTTCTCAGCCATATTTAATTCTACAATGCTCATGATACCCTTGCAATCACTCATCATCACAATGTCTAAAAAATAATAAATAAATAGCGCAATATAGTATACAGAAATCTATTAAAAGATTCCTCTGGGCCTGGAGATAAATAAGGCTCACTTATAGGGACAGAAAAGTGAAAAAGGAACACGACTTCTATTAGTCGTTCTCACCATATCACACCGCATAGTAATGAAAGTAAAGTTTTAAGACTTTGCTCGTTCTTTTAAAGGTCTGTGCTCATTGATGGAAAATGACGTAATTTTGGCTGATTATTGACGATTAAAAACTCCGGTTAGGAAATCCAATCTTGAATCTTTCCATCCAAGCACCGATTCTGGCAACGTTTCTGGGCCCATGGCACCTCTGTACGATGTGGGCATATAGAGGAACATACTTGTATTAGTGAGCCTCAGCCTCGCCCCGTCGTCGGCTACCAAGGACATGTGCATATGCGACATTAGCGTACAACGCAAACAACGTACACACAATTAGAAGAATTAACGGTAGTTAGGTAGTTAGGAAACAATAACAACAACAGAAGAGCATGCAGGCGACTTGTTGGCAAGAACGTCAGTCGTTCTTGTTTCTGCTGCTTGTAAGGTTGTTGGTGAGTGCACTTCAGTACCCGAGTGTGTGCTGCCGGCTGTTGTTGCCACAACTTATTGGCCACAACGTGGCAACTTATTAGGCAAAGCCGCAAAGGTTGTTAATTGTTAGCTTCTATCACAAGACTCAGGTACAAGATATCTGGAGCCAGTACGCTCAGGGAAATATGTAACTAACTAGGCTTTATTGTGGACCACTTTCTTGAAAGACTACATTTAATCAATCCCAAAAGTGGAGTAGACGCACAAAACTAGCTAGAGTTCTCTGCATTTAAAATATTTACTGAGAATACGCCCTCAATTCATTGATTCTTATGTATCAACAAACGAAACTCAATATTAGTAATATTTGAATATATAGTACTATGTAGAATTACTTTGAGCAGAGTTTCTTTGGGGCTTTATCTAATATTGCAGATAGATGTGCAAATCTTAGATCAAAAACTCTTTATACTATAAGGAAAATCAATTTCTAGAACAAGGACAGCCCAGTCGAGGACTGAACTTTTAGTAAAAACAAAAATGTAATAAATGTTCTTCAACTGTGGTAAAGCTATACAGATTTTTGGATTTTTACAAAAAGTGTTTTTATTCTTACAATGCATTGTAAACATTGCAATCTTTTACTACGAAGAAATTTAATGCACAGTATTCTTTACGAAAAATACTCCATTCTCCTGCTGATTGTTCACTATCGCATACTTTTTCTCGTATTCTTCCAAAAAACGCAAATCTATCAATAAATTTCATTATTTTTAACGTCGCGTCGTGAGATATGACAACAAAGATTGTATTGTTAACGAAAGACGGTTCAATGGTAACAATATAATATTGTAGTCTATTATACAGTATACTTGAGAGGTGCACTCAATCAAAAACAGACTGATAGATGAACTCGTCTGATCGTTCAGATATGAATATACCAATTCACTTTTATGTGTTAAAATTGTTCATGCAAACCCCAATGGATTCCTTCAGTAACTAATTACACCGATTTATCAGTAGTTCAATATGTTAAGTTTGTGATTTATTTGTGTTATCGTCTAGCTGTTGAACATTTTGCAGTTTACATTGGATTTAATTCGTTTAATCGTAATTTAATTGCTATGAATTAAAGTTTCTTGAATGCTTGTTTTGTTTTTTGTTTCTGTTCACTGCGTTTCATAGTCGATGATGTCATTTGGTTGCTTTTAGTTACTAATATTAATGTTTATATGATGCAGCATTTTAGACGCCTTTTGTTTAACTATGCTTCCCTTGTAATTTGCTCATTGCTTAGGCATACGAAATTTATCAAATTTGTAATATATGTATTTGTGTGGTATATTATATAGTCGTATGTACTTGTAACTAGTTATAAAATTGTGTCAATTTGTTTTGTTCGTATTTTGAAATGCTGGAAGTATGCACTGAACTTACGATAATTAAGTTTTAATTTATTCTCTTTAGGTTACTTTGAACTCCCTTGTATTAGTTTTGCATTTGTTCCGTTACATTTGTTTTAAATATATTTACAACTTTTTCAATAAAACTACTCTAGGCAAATTTGCAAGCAATGTGGTGTTGCAACCACACAGAAATAAAATAAACAGGAGAAGATGTTACAGTCAAGCAAGTCCGACCATTAAATACCCTGTACCCAACAGAAATCTTTTCAATACTAAACTCTGGCGTGGGATTTAAGAATTGAAGTCGATCAGGTTTTAAACATAACCAAAATCCAAGTGTTAGCCCAGACAGGTAGACGGACGGACATGGCTAGATTGATTCGCCGCGTCATGCTGATCAAGAAAGAGTATAGTGGGTACATACCCATTTTTCAGTTCAGGTATAGGGTATAAAACTCGGCCGGCTGGCTAACAAACCAAAAAAAATAAAAGCAACTCATGAATACATTTTTTCGATCATAGCTTTTTATTTACACAGTATTCTGCATTTATTTATGATTCGCACTCATATTTGCAATTTGTAGTACACTTGTATGTGAATATTACGTAGTAGTATGTATTTGCATAATTTTTTCTATATTCTTTTTAGATGCTCGATACACGTCAGTATGCATATCGTAAACTATTGATTATTTATTAATTCAATAAGTAATAAATTCATTTTTTGTCATGACTATTACCTATAAAAATCGTGTGATTGTGAGTACTTGTTGCTATTTTTCTGAATTTTTGTTTGTGGCAGCATGCTTCTACTATTTGATGTAGAACTCGCTTTTATTGTGTGGCTGGTTCAGTGTATACTTGGATTCGCAACGTACTTACTTATTATTAAATACATACATACATAGTTTAAATGACTTGTCCTTAAGTGCGAAAATAACCGCCTCTCCCAATTTAGATACATTTCAAATTGTATACATTGCTCATTACGCAGATTTAGAGTTATCAGTGTAGGTTTCATTTTTGATATACACGTATATTTACAGGAATTAAATGTTAGAAAAAACTTAAAAGTTAAGATCACTGAACCTGAACAAATAGTATACCAAGCACAGTGTTGGTAAACATGTCAAGTTGTGCGCACAAATATGTACAAAGCTTTCGCACGTCTACAATTAAATGCTAATTTATACAGAATAGATATAAACATCGTTTCTCGTATGTGTAGTGCCATAAACGTCGAATCCTCATGCGGCAAGTCGCTCAGCAGCCTCCAAATCGCAGAAGATAGCTTACCATTTAGTTTGCCTTCTCCTTGGCTCCTTCTGCCTCTGCCTCCGCCTATCTAAACTTAAATATTCATAAACTAATTCGTAATTGGTTGCTTTGCTTACTAAATTAAAGTAACACATTTTGCAGTGGCTGCCCAACGTACATTCGCGTTCATAGCCCCCTCAGCCCTTGTAGAAATGGTGCATTTCGATATCCGTGTCCAGGCCCATTGCTGCGCTCAAGGGTGTGGTGCGGCCCAGAGTGCCGCACGACTTTAGCGTATATCAGTGATACCTACGCAGACTCCCGTTGTTGTTGCCACCCGCCACATTATGGTTGTTGTTGGACATCATGGTCAAATTGTTATTGTTGTTGTTGTTAAAGGAGCGCCTGCCAGTGGTGTTGCCATGTACTAAGGCCACACCGACCCCGTTGCGCAGCGGCAATGCCGGAGGCGGGGGCGTTGGTGCGGGAGGTGGTGGCATATCATGATCGAGAGGAAGCGAGTAGTGGGAGTTGTTATGGATATAGCCGTCGGTCATGGCGTCGCAGGGCTTGGCGTAGCCTCCATTGTGGTTGAAATGGTCTTGCGTTAGGCGAATCGCCAGCGGCTGACTGTAGTGGGACAGCGTGCTCTCCTGCATTGCCTGACGTTTGGCCAGGTGACGAGGTAAGGAGGCATTAAGTGGCTTGCCGCCGTTGGCTAGCTTGCGCATGTCCTGCTCAGAGTAGTGCGGATGAGGGCTTGGGCGTGGTACCGTCGTCGCTAACGGCGTTGTGCTGTTGTTGGTCATATAGTGGATGTGGCTAAGTTGGGCGAAGGATGTGTGCGCGTCAACGGAGCTGGGCACTTGCAATTGCTGAAGAGCAGGCTTGTGACATGCTGCTGCTCCCCGACCCCCCCGAAGTTGAGGTGGGGGCGGCGCTTCTAGCTAGAGCTCAGTGACCGGTATAGACCGTGTGTACTGCGACTGGGAGGCGGCGTTGTAACTGCCTAGGCAAGGATATGGTGTCGTAGGATGCACGCCCCCGCAGCTAGGCGATGGGCGTCCCATATATTCCTCGTCGGAGAAGGTTTTCTGGTACTCCCGCTCTTTGCGACCCAGCGCCGAGTGCCCCTTGAGCGCTTCGCGAATCCGCTTTCGACAGGTATAGACTATCAGAGCCAGTGCTGTAATGACCGCAGCACAGACCATTACCAATACGCCAATAATGGCTTGCTTGCTTGCTGCTCCATGGGTGCAACCCAGCAATGGTTCAGAGAGCTGGATAAGTTGTAGCTCGCGTACGTTGGTCGGATAAGCACATAAAACGGGTGCGAACTGGCTGCTGGAATTCTTGCTTATGAGGAGGTTGCGCAGCCACAGCAGCTGACAGTCGCATACAAAGGGATTCTCCGAAAGGTCCAGTATCTGCAAGTCTTCCCAAGGAATTAGGCCTTCGGCCAGCGTGCTCAACTGGTTTTCCTTGAGCACTACAGTACTAAGGTGCGGCAAGCCACCGAGAGCATTGGAATGAAGCTCACTCAACTGCTTATTGGAAGACAACGTCAAGTGCTCCAGGTTCGTGTTCGATGTAAAGGCGCCGCTTTCCACGCGACGCAGCCGCTGTGCACCTGTAATTTCCAGCTGCCTCAATTCGCGCAGACCTGCAAAAGCATCCGCCGCTATGACTTCAAAGTCATTCTGTCCTAGTGATAGGTGCTCCAAACGGGCCAAGCGCTCAAGAGCTTTTGTAGGCACCGCTAAGAGACGGTTGTCCGAAAGATCCAAGTAGCGCAAGCCTTCCAAGCCTCTGAAAGCCTCGCTGGAGATGTTGTGCAGTCCCGCACCGTTTAGGTCCAAGCGTGTGAGACCTTTCAGATCCTGAAAAGCACCCGCCGGTATGGTAACGAACGAATTGGTGCCCAAAAAGAGTTCTGCAAGACTGGGCAGTGCCTGGAATGTGACGTCTGAAGGTACAGTTGTCAACATGTTGTCGTCGAGGTAGAGAACGCGTAAGTTGACCAGACCGTCCAATGCGTGAGCGTCGATGTGGCTAATGCGGTTCTGCCCGAGGTTCAGCTCCGCCAGCTTTGTCATTCCCGCAAAGGTACCATATTCCAGCTCGGCGAGCAGATTTCCGCGTAGGTTAAGCACACTGATGGTGGACAGGCCTTTGAACGTCTTATTGCTCACCTGACCGATCTTGTTGTGGTTGAGGTGCAGCTCCTGTAGCTTGCTCTGGAATGCAAACGTGCGCTGCGGTATTGTGACCAGGTCATTGAAAGACAGGTCGAGAAACGAAAGTTGTGTGTAGAATTGCATGGAGGAGTCTATGGACTTGATCTTGTTGTTCTTGATGACCAACCGCTCGATTGATGGATTCAGCGTGATGGGCAACACATCGAGCGTCCCCACGCCGCATTTGACCATCAACGTGTCGTCGTCACATTCGCAGCCATTTGGACAATTGGCCAGGCCATTTGCCGACGGTAGGGGAACCGCGAGTCCAACAATCAGCAGCGCCAGTGTCGATGTGGCAATGGCCGACATCGCCGCTAACGGCGGTCGTCGCCGTCCCCTGCTGGGGTTGCCGCCGTATCTCATTAAGCTATGTGGCACTTCTACCGCCGCTCGTGCGCTTTGTCCGGCGTTCTTTGTGCCGTACCGACTGCAGTTGTTGTTTCTGTTGTTACTGGTGGGCAGCCTGAATTGCCGTGACTGTCGTCCTGCGGGCTGTCCTGCTAGGGCAGTTTATGCTATTGCTTATTCTGTAGGTTTGGAACGTTTTAGCCGGGTTTGCCAATGGCTTTCGAATTGAATGTCCGACATCCGTAGCCGCAGTCTGCTGCTGTAGCTTTTTAGCCTGAAAAGAGAGTAAAAACAAGAAGGGAAGAAGGTTTTAATATGTTCGCTTGCAATTGATTTTCCATTAGGGCTTAGATATATGCACTGCCATTGTCTTTGTAGTAAGTCGGCAATGAGAGAGCTTGGAAATTAGCAAATAAAGACAAAACAACAAATTTGACAAATATTTAGGAAGGGGAATTAAGGCCAGAGCATATCGCAATGTATAGCCTGCAACTAAATGTAAGACACAAAAGTAAATAGTATATTCGAGTACATACATACTTATATTTGATCAATATGACTAAACACGTAGATGTAGCCACCTCCGTCTCTCTGGCAGTCTGTGTCAAAGCAATGATCTTTCAAAGTATAAGAGCTTGGTGCTCGATTCTCCTAGGTCGGAGAAACATAAGCATAGGAACGTTTTGTATATTTCATATTTTGTTACATTCATTTAATTAATTGAAATGAAAATATAGCTTTAATTTCCTTTTGTCGCAGTAGGTTCAATTTTTGTTGTTGAGTTGATAGCTTCCATTTTGAGTTACTAAAGTGTTTCAGAGAGTTTCAACATACCGGTTTGCCTGTTGAGCCAACCAGCGAATAATAATCATGAACCCTGTGCGTCAATGCCTTCTACAATGTAGCCCAAAGTCAGCTCCATGTACCACCTTAGGAAAAATCCCCTAGGCCCGACCAAAGATATGCCACATTGTTTGCCGAAACTTAAAGAACAACTTGCACTTCGTTTGCCTTAGGACAATTTAAGAGAAAGCGCGGCACGAAAGTGGCAAACAAAACTTAATTTAGCGCACCACTGTGAGAAGTTCAAGGATGCCAAAGGATATTGGGACACTCACACATGAGCCCAAACGGGCTATAAAATAAATAAAACAAAAAAGAAAATATACGAGTATATGTATATACATATAGAATACTTTTTTTTGGGGCAGCCCACACACACATTGACAAATAAAAATAAAGGAAAAACTTCATCAACGTCTCGTTCCCACTTCTTCTTTCACAGTCCTTTACCTTTTTCATATTTTTAAACTAAAGGCGGGTGATGGGGGGTGTGAGAGGAGTGGGCTTAGTGGTTGCTGACTCGATGGTTGTGGCCCCAAAGGCGCTATGAAAATAATCATAGATGTGGGTCATACTTCAGAGCAGGCGGATTGTTTATGCTTTTGTTATGCGCTCAATGCGCCAAAAAGGATAACAGCCGTTATAGCTGCCGACGTAGCCGTTGCCGCTCTGGGCGACTCAACTCAGAAGTCGAGTCGAGTCGAGTCGACTTGACTCTCGTTTTTATTATGTAAATATCACATAAACACCCGGGAGCAAGTCAAGCGCAATCATATGAAAGAACGCCACAAAAAAGAGCGCAGCAGTCGCCTCTGCTCCCTCTGCCAACCCATCATTATAATGCATATGCCATAAAGCAACTTGTTGAGGCGGGACAGCGACGAAGTCAACGATGGAGACGATGTAGGATATGCTGAAAGTCTGGCGGAGTCGACTTTTTGGCAACAAAGCACACAACTGACAACAATTTGGATATGCATGAAGTTAGGCACAAAGGACCCAACTGGACGACCCTCCTATTGTTTACAGACACGACATACAGGGCAGCTGTTCAGACACCCAGTTAACACGCAGTTTGACGAGTGCATGTGAGCCCTGCCCTCGGTGTGTAAAAATCAAATTTAAATTGCTAAAACGCCGCATAAATGGCCAAAACAAAAACAACGGGTACGCAGAGGACCGAAGGATGTGATGAAGGTGGGGAAAATGTGGACCGAGATGGCTCTGAGCCTCCGGCCGTTTACTTGTCGCTTTCCAATGAAGTGCTAAGAACCTTTCCGCCGTATAAGCACGTGGAGTTCTCGATTCTATCCAAAGAGATGCAATTAAGTAAATTTCTAGCCTTCGGGAACTAGCTTCATGTGTCCGGGGAAACGTATTCAAATAAAAGCAGGAAAACTAATTTTATTAAAATTTCAATTTCGCCACAGAACGAATTTCGTGAATGTTGATGCTACGCGGGATTTTGATATCACATGAGAGGAATATTTCTTTCAACAAAATATATAAATAAACTTTTGAACAACCAACAGACACACTTATTCTACAGCCCGCGTTATTGAACATTATTAACATAATTGCATGTGCTCCATGTCATTCATAAATTCATATTTTTTTTAAAATACGAATATGTACTAATGGGATGGTAATTATTGGTATTGGAAGAGCCGGTTCCACGAGCAGTAACAACCTGCTTCAATATCAACAAACTACATACATATATACTCGTACATATATGAGTGCATCGATTTCTGAACATATACATTTCTCTGGAAATGGCCTCTGAGATTTTTTTATTATGGTTACACGACCGATTTAATTCCTTGCCATTGCTGTGAGCGTTTTTTCAACAGTAGCAACATATATTTGGCGGCTTCATAGTCCAGCCGAAATGGTTATAAATGTTTGGCTGTCAGTTGAACAGTAGCTCTGGCAAAGCCCATCCTCCCTGTCAAAAAAGTCGTCCATTGTATTTATTTGTCTGTCTTGTGTCGGGTGGTTGTTCCCAGTTGGCTAGTATGGTTAGTTTTGCTTTCAAGTCTGCGCTATGACTTCCGTTGGTTGTCCACCAGCGCCACGCCATTGCAGACCCCTTTCGGAATCATCCCCCATTACGGCACTACGGCATTACGGCATTGCCGCTCTCATTTTAGCCTTCACACTTTGTTGGGCTTATTGTTTAGCTTTAGTCCGCTGGCTTGACTGTCTGCCAAGCCAGCCTGGTCTGTAGGGTCTGCCGGCCTGTGTCCGGGTTAGAGGTTTGACAATTTGCCAAGAAAAACTTTTTGTAGCAGAGCTTTTGGGCCGTGGCTAAATTGGAAAATAAATGCATGTTTTTGATTTAATACGAGGCGGGCTGCAGCAGGACTGCAACTGTTCCCGGGGAGTGTTGGGGAGTTGAGCAATTGTCACAAGTTTGAAGTCCTTTCAACAGTCCTAGTTCTTAAGGCCATCAATGGGCAGTGCAATGCAGAATGTACAACACTTCCGACTAGCTGTAATTATAAGCGATCAATATTTAAATTTCAATACTTTCTCTCTTTGGCAGTTCTACATAAACTATGTAAGTGAGCAATGTATGTTACTAGGAAAATGCATAATATTTCAATGTGACACCAGATAGCCCCACTCAGTCCCTTTACCTTTCCCTTTCCCTTTCTTGCCAACTCTCTCTCTTAATGTTATTTATATGACAATTTCGCTTGAGCACGCGTTAAAATATCGCCGGCAATATTTTATGCGCTCGCTCATGTTTTTCAGAGCACCCCATCGCCCATCAAATTCCAACGCCCCTTCGCTATGATAAACTTGGCAAATTTATCCTACTTTGTGCCATATGTCTTTTGGTACAGTTTGCGAAGCTCGGGACGTCAACGGCGCACTGTTTGCACAGTTTACAATTTCAGTTTGTAGTTGAACGAACGTCGAACGCCGCGTACCATACTATACTATATGTATGTGTGTATGTATGTACATATGTATACGTAATACGTTGTATCTTCGAGATGCTTTTGTTGGCGTAGCTAAACAAGCGCCCTACAACAGTCTAATATTTGCAATGCGAAGCACAACAACACAGAGCAACAACAATGCCAATGCTGGAGTCAACAGCAAAGGCGGCGACTTAAAAAAGTTGAAGCGCTCACGCACGTTGCAGCTTGGGTAGCTGAAGGCTGTGGGGCACGAATGGTGGCAGTGGCAGCCAGTCGTCTGTGAAATAGAAAACGAAACATTGATAGTGCAAGAAAGCGATGTGGGGGTAACAGATGGGCGGGGAAAGAATGCGAATGGATATAACCCACAAATGTGCTTTCGTGCATTTTCTTTCCTGTTTGCCATATTAAGGCACTTGCTACGGATTGGTAGCAAGTTAGGATCACAAATGACTCATTTTATACTCGTACTCGTGAACAATTGCCAACCCGTTAGCCACACACAAGGCTGCCATCGTACTAATTGCGCACCCCTCTTAATTTTCCACCTCCACTTCAAACTTCATCAAAATCTGTAATCCTAAGAAAAGTTTTTTTTGTGTCTTTCGTCTCCGCGCGCTGGGATTATTTGCTGGAGGGTATTTTCCTGTCGGGCTAACTCCACTCTAGCACTCTCTATGATTTGTTTGTCAGCTTCTATCCGCAAGATATGCCTACGCGAGTACGAGTTTGTAATTTCAAAGCAGAAACATGAATGTAAATACATAGTGTAGGATTTTCAAAGTATTTTCCATTTCATACTGGCTATTGTTTATTTAAATTATGTTTGATTTAAGTTAGGTATTGGCCGGGGCCGGGAATCAAAGATGGCCTTTTGGGGCAGTATTCTAGAAACTCACCCTCGCCAAAGTTTGGCAGAACTCGAAAAAGCAGCGAATTGGCATCGCAAGAAAGTAAAGAGTTATGCCCCAGGCAGCCATAAAGAGACCCAAATATTTTACATTTAAACGACCGCAAGCGAAGGGGGTGCTGGTACTAGTTTTGTGTTCATGCGTGTGTTTGTGTTGAAGTGTGGGGAGGGCTAGGAGATGGTACTAGAGAAGACTAGACGACGTCGCCATTTGTGCCATCATTCTTGGCCGCATGCCCATATTTGGGCGACGGTGGCACAAACGACTGCGTCGAGAACGACGCCGACGACGGCGCAAGGTCGCCGATAGGAAAACTTGTTACCTACTTTTGCCTTTCGACCCGACCCCGATCCTGACTCACTTGGCGTCTTTATCGCTATCGTCGCTGGCGTCGTCTACTTTAAGTCCAAGGCAAAGTTATATGCGGTCTACAGAGCCAGACCAGCAGACTATAAATCCACGCTATTGATCCTTGGTATATGTCTTAAACAAATTTATATGGCAAACGGAAAAGTAGGTGGCCCACACATCCACACACATACACATTCGCACACTCGTACACTCGTACACTCTCGCTGCAATCCGGGGTTAGTTTTTGAAATACGCGCATTTGGCGCAGCCGTTTGGGCCCCAATCCCTCTGTTTTGGCGCCGTAACAGCATGTCGAACATAAAGTTTGCACAGTTGGAGATTTGGCTGTAAGAATATGGAGCAACGTTTAGTGCAGTGGGCTTTAAAATTAAGCGTGCGAAATTTTTAGTGCCCTGGCTTAGTTGGCAGTTGAGTCGGGAGTGGGAGCTCTACAAACATTTTGATAGCAAACAAAGCTGGGTGTTTGCTTTGCAAGTATGGGTTGCGGCATCCACTTTGTTTGAGGGCCATTAGAAGTGTGGAAAGACTTATGGGCAAATTTCCATTGGTTGCTAGGTGGATTTTCCCCTTTCCTGACAAACTTTTAGAACTTTCCCCATAATTTCCTCGGCTGCTTATCGGCAAAAGTCAGCCAACAAATCTGATTTGTATTAAACTTAAGCACAAAGCAGCGCAAACAAAAAGGTAAGACAGTAACTTGTAGCTGAATTAAAACGCGATGAAATTTCGGATGGGACATCCGGCCAGATAAAAACGCAGCAGAAAACACTCACAAAGGATTTGCTCCGGACTGCCACTCCACTTCGGAGGGTTTAACAGAACTTTTGTTTGTTGGCAGCTACACGACTCTAATAGTACCTACAATAAGGTTGAGTACGAGGACGAAAACGTAGACAATTGGACGATTTTGTTGACACCGCCGGTGGCATTGTACCGAAGCAAAGGCTGCAACGCGTAACGGAAAGGGGGACTTGCAACATGCAACGTTGCAGCTCTTCTAGCTTTGGCCAACTGGGCTGACCGCGTGGCGTGCCGAACTATAAATCTTTGGAAATCGCGCGCACAAAGTGCGCCACAAAATGTTGAAAATTACGCGGTAAAAGGTGCCCAGGACGTGCAAAGTAAAAGGCAACCAAAGCGACAGGAGGGGGAGACAACAATCTAATGGGGCAGCTTACAATGTTGTAGGTAGGTAGCCCCGTGCAGGATTACCCTATGCAAGGGGTGGCAGGATCTGAGGCTAGCATACAGCATAAGACTAGTGGACGCGAATATTTACTGCGCTTTAAATTTAGTCCCACAGTTGCGGTGATTTAGTTGACCTGCTTGAAAGGGGCACAGTGGGATAGGCTTGAAGAGCAACGACACAGCAAGAAGAAATTAACTGTCATCTGTAACTTGAAACACATTGGTGTTTTGAGAAATGTTGAACAGACACTCTGTTGCAATCACATCATCTTCCAGCGATGCTTCGCTTTAAAAGTCACAAATTTGATCTAAACAGCGATCGTTTTAGAACACTCCATGCTTTTGCTCTCGGAGATGATCCAACACAAGCTTTTTATTGGAAACCTATTTACTTAAATATATTGCAACCATTTATCTAATGGTGTTTCACTACTTGAGGGTGAAAGATAAGATGGGACAAAGCATTGCTATATTGCTATTACTTGTATTATAATAGCATAAGAGTAAAAGTAGAAGGTAGCTGGTTCTAGATTTAGGATTACAGTTTGTAAAATACAGTCATCAACTGATTTGGAAAGAAGAATATGGCCAAAGATTATAGTCGGCCATTACTCGAGTAATTTTCGAGATATTTGAATATATTGCAGACTTATATAGTGAACCTATTTCACTATCCCTTGGCAGTACAAGTATTATGGCTTATGGGCTTGTGCCTACTGTGCAAAAAATGTACCATATTGCTTGCATTTGCTTTTAAAATTCAGCAATTCAACATAACACAACGACGACCCCGTCTACCACAAACTCTGCCCTCAGCAACCCACACCGGCACCATCGCATTACTCAGAACCGTCACCCTCCCCTCCACCGTTGAGTTTAACAAGAAGCGAGGAAAGCCGCAGTGGCGGCCTGGAACGTTACATACGAGTTTGCATGTGGATAGTCGGGGTTTCTGCTTTAAACAGTGCCATTGTTTATGAACATGCCGTGTGGGGAGTGGGGCAACGGCCGAAGGATGTATGCTCACATACACTTACACACACACACACACACACACATACACACACACTCATGCAGGGCAGGCCAGACCAGACCAGACTCATTTAAAGAGTCTGCTCTGGCGAGACCTCGGCATGAGTAAAGCGCGACGGCGAAATTTATGCGAAGAATGCAGCAGCAATATGTGCAACAGCAGTCGCAACAACAACTACAACAAATCGGACTCCACCATCTCCAAATCCAACCACATGGTGTGTGCCGTGTAGCATGTCGGAAGCCGCCAAAAGGACCAGCATGAACGCTGTTTTCTCCCTTTTTACATAAAGCACAAGACTTTTTTTGCTGGAGCAATGGTGGGCACATATTTTACGAAGCAGTGTAGCGCAGGGAAATATTTAAAATTTTAAGGCCCAATCGGGCGTCTGAATAAGCAGGCTTAAACGATCCCAGGTGAGGTCATTGGTCCTGCCGGCCATTGGCGTTTCTGATAGGTGGCCTTTCAAAGCATACTTAAGACTTTATTTGTTTCCAATGTTTCACTCAATTTTCTCACTCTTATGTTTTTAAAAGATTATTGTATTCGAAAATGTACCTAAAATCAATTATTTATAAATTGCATTCTTTTTACCCAATTTTCTTCTTAATGCACAGCTCAGGTTTCAGACAACTTGTTGATTTACAAAGAATTAGGTCATATGTAAAGTAATGGCCACAACTGTCGATTTTTCACACATTCGCTGAAGCCATTTTTTCCACCTTTCAGTTCGAATTTTTCAAAACCAATTCTAATTCTGCTCACCTACTTTGTGAAAAGAATTGCAGCTTATTAACTCTTACCGGGTTATGATGTGATAGCCAATCAGTAAGGCAATAAGCTAGCCAGGATAAACTGTTTTAAAAACAAATGTATATAGATATGTTTTTTTTTTATGTCGCCACAAACCCGACATGGCTCAATAATTCTTACAACTTGCTAATGTTCAGCTGCAACAGCAACTCAATTGAAAATCTTTTGCTATTCCAGGTCAACTTTAAAGAGCTTAAGTAATATTAATCACCCAAAGGTTCAAGAAGTAACCCGAAATCGGTTGCTTGCTCTTCCCTCGCCGCTCCCCCTACCTTTCGCCATTCAAGCTGCCACAGCCATTGTTGCATGGTCGATTGTTTAATGACGCAAGTAATTGCAACTGCAGAGCGAAGACTTGAGCTAAGGAGCTGAGCAGCGGCCGCTCTGACCATTACGATACATAGAAAGGCAACTGGAACTGCACACAAGGGAGCGACTTAATGAAAACCAAACAATAACAACAATAACAACAACAGCAACAACAAAGATGGCGAGGCGGCAGTAACAATAATTCAAAGTCGGTCAACTGTGCAGTGGAAAACGTCTCTTGGATCGAGTGAGTTGACTCGAGTGGCACCGCATGCCAACATGCCAGCATGTAACATGCAACATGGAACATGGAACATGCAACTTGCAGCAATAATTGATAAACGAACAGATGTACAAGTGTTTAAATGAATGAATGATGGGGAATGAGCTGCCAGTTGAGCGCTTGCATTTGAAGTCTGACATTATGTCGCAGACGAAAATTTATTTGCACGACCATTATTCGTATCAATGAAACCATGATGGCCACTCAACACTCAATTGAACGTGAAAATTAACAGAAATCAATTGATTTATTTACCAACCATACGGCACTGCACTGCAGAGTTTGTGTTTGAGGACAACAATTTTGCTTGGGCTTAATTGAAAACTGTAATTAAATTAATCGCCGATGGGAGCAGCAGAAGATCACTGCAATTTGTATAACTCGGCAAACAAAATACACTAATTACGTAAATGCCTGCTTAACCGGAGGGAGTAGGCGTTCTGCCTAATTGGCGATCCCTACTTAATGGTCCGGCTGAGTTGCAGTTACTTGAAGCGTGGCTGAAGAGTGCCAGATGGATCCGATAATTGTCTCGCAATTCTCAAAGACATTGAGGCGCACCAACCGGAGACAAAGTAGCCTAAGTACTGTCCATTAAAGAAATCTGTCGATCTCTTGTGGTCTTCAGAGCTACAAACAGGACATTCAACACGATTCCGGCGATATTATGTTCGCTCTGCCTCCGCCGGACCCCCCTTCTCTTCAACCTCTAGCATTTGCATTGTTTCATGATAATTGAATTGATATTGAAAACGCGCCAATAGCTGTCAATCAGGCGTGAAAAACCGTCGGCCATTGTTTCAATTAATTGCTATGCATTTAGCAAATAAATGCCAACATCAAGGCGTATTAAATATACTATTGTAGCAGTAATGTAAACAGTTTCGATTTTATTACCTTTAATTGACTTTTCAGCGCTGTTAAATAATCCACAATGTCAGGGGCAGAGGCAGAGGCAGAGGCTGCGTCTATGGCTCTGTCGCTGATGACGATGCTGGCGGCGACGACAGCGACAGCGATAACGTCAGCGTCAGTGACGTCACCATTTAAAAATTAGTGTATTTGGTTGTGTATCGCTCATTAACGTTTAACAATTGAAAATGCGTGTCTGCGCTTCCTTTCACTCAACTGTGCGAGTTCGGTTTGCCTTTAACACCTTTACTGCGCCAATTTCGAATTCAATTCCACCGGCGGAACTCTGTTGTCAAACATATTGTGTGTTGTTGTTGTTATTGAACTGCAATGAGAAAAGTGGGTGTAAAAAATGAATTATTTATTAAATATGCAGTGGCCGTAAATTGTTAATAATATCGCAGTCATGCCAGCAATTTATGAACGAGCTTATAAATAAACGGAACAAAGCATTTTCAATGGATGTGAATTATTTTTTCCGTCCGTATGCATTTTAATTTATTTATGTTAATATTGTAAATGGTCCAATTGCGTAGCCGTAAACAGTGACAGAGCGAGCGTTTCAAAATCGTCCCGCGTTTAGGAAAATCTCAACTCATGAGATTTCTGGAACCTATTCCGATCTTTATGAAAGTGATGATAGTAGGTCCGCAACTCTGGTTAGCCACTCATTAAGCTGGCAAGGCGACAAAGTATAAGAAGCAACATAGCTAGTCGTACAATGTTCAACTCATTTCGAAATATTGGATTTTTAATATATATTCATATTTTCGTGTGATAGAAATGGCAACCGAATGTCGAATGTTCCTTTTTTGTTTATTTAAATGAATTCTTAGCTAAACGGAAATAAATCTAAAGAAAACTGCAAATTCCAATTGTTCCGCTACATACATCACTATTTGTTGATTTATTAAATAAAATTTAAAAAAATTAAAATAAGATGTATTACGAGTATATAGTAATATTAGTGATAAAAACAATAAATAGACAATACCGGTAACGACTCCACATCGTTACTTTAAAATAATTTCTCGATTTAAAAGCTTCATTTTGAAAATTTCAATATGATTTTGTCATTTCATATAATAAGATTAAGACTGAATAGAGAACAAACCTTACAGTTCTTTTGTCGACACTGGAAGAGTACGAGCTCTTCGGCGTCAATGCTCAGCTTATGCTTTGCTAATTTTGTTTGACAAAAAATGATTTTTATTAATTTTAATAAATTGCTGCAATTGATTTTTTTGTAGGTGTTGTTTAAACAAATATAGATAATTATTGGACATTCAATTATTCAGATGGCAGTCATGCATTTGAATCAATTTCCACAATGTTGAGCAAATTGTAGTTAATTGGAGGGTGCATTCAATATAAAAACACACTTAACTCTATGCTTGTCAATGTTAAAAAAAGGTCCTAATTTAAAATTTAAACGACAAAAACAAGAAAAATAATAGTAATAATTATGAAATGCATAGCGTAGGGAAAAAAGCCACGAAAATTGCAGTGGGAAAGCATTAAGGATATGCAAAACGCCTCGTTGCTCACCATACTCGGCGTCGGCATGTGTCCGGACACACAAACACAATCACAAGCACAGACATACACGTATATGGCAAGTGTTGTAAGTATGTGCTTAAATACGCATTTATTCATACAAATATGGCCGGCAGCAGCGAAACAAAAGGCAGAGCGAACGAATTTCCATGTCCATGTCGTCGACGCCGTCCTCATTGGTCTGGCAACTGGCAACTGGTTACTGGCAACTGGCAACTGGAACTGGCAGCGGGAAAATCAGATGCGCAACTAACGAGCGACAACACCGACGACGACAAAGCCAACAGGAAAAAAAATAATAACAGCGACGATGTCGTCGACGACAACGACAATGTCGGAGTTGGCCGCTGCTGAACGCCGCGGGTCCTCTGCTGGCGAACATGGCGCAAATGTGACAAATATGGGCATGAAGTGTGCAAGTGACAAGTCTAACATACTTACAAATTTTCATGAGGCAGATGCAGGGACACAGTTGGGAGTTGGGGGCTGGGAGCTGCGGGCTGGGAGCTGGGAGCGCACCACTGGCTGGCAGCTGCGGTTGTTGCGGCCATATTATCACCAGGGGGCAATAACAACTAAAACCGGGCGCACCATAGGAATTTGCGTTTTCAAATGTATGTTAATGATGTTTCAGGTTCCAGAAAATGCAAAAACAACACTGATGGCGACAATAGCAACGAGATTATTTCCATTTTATGTTTGTTTTCAGACATTTCCGCGATTCATGTTGTTGTTCGTTTTTGTGGTTTGACTGTACTTATATACGAGTATGTACTGTATGTACATACTGCATTGGAATTGTGTTGGCTTTCATTTTCATAACAACATATTTCAATTAACTTTAAGCATTTGCTTTTAAATAAACAATCGCAAATGTTGAAACTAATCTACAAAATGAAGTAATGTTTTTCCCTTCTAACATTCTGCCTCCAGATAATTTTTATAGAAACAGCCCAGTAGCAATTTACTAGCTACGGCATATATAGATGTATAAAGATGCATTCATTGAACATATGTACATAAATATCTGTGAATACGATTTTCACGACGGGAAGGAAAAAATGCAATTCAAAAGTGATTTTTATTCATCGAGTAATTTATGTAATTGCAAAGCGTTGAATTTGATTACTGGTTTTGGTCAACTTTTTATTTTGTTTGGTGCTTGTTTTAGGATTACATCAGCGACATAATATAAAGTGTTTATTTTTGTACACAGCAGTTCCAAAAATGACATATAGTTAATCATGCAATTCTTCTAGCAAAGCTTTAATAATTGAAAACTGCAATTCTTGAGTTTTTATAAATTCTAGCATTTAAAAGCATTTGTTCTTATATCACGAATATGTATGAATAGGAACTCATAAGTTTTCGTAGCCTTCTCTACCGACATATCATGTAATCTCCACCGCTAAACTCATAACTTATATACACATATACATATATGTACAAGTATATATGAGCACGGAATGAAAATATAACCGAACAATTTTCTGTGACATCACCCAGCGCATCTTCAGGCCCGAAAACGAACTAATTTGATTGCGTTGCACCAACAGATACTACCACCAGCAACTGATCACTGACCTAGGAACGCAATTTACGGAGTAGTAGTTTGTCTGACCAAGCTACGCACTTAAAATGTTACGTCAGCCATCACTTGAACACTCACAACCCCCCTACCCCCACCCATCCCACAACTCCACTAAAACGGCTCACTGTTTGTCTGCCTGTTAACGCATTGCGCGTACACACGAAATTATTTAAATACCCACAATAAATTGTAATTACTGCCCTGAGATACATTTGCGTAGATAAATGCTTTTTCGTGTCCCACAGTTTTTTTTTTTGTTTTGTTTTTGTTTGGTTTTTGTTTTGTTTTTGTCGCTCTCGACGGCATTGGCTTTGAGCCGCCGGTCGCATATATACTTATTAAAGCGAGCCATTACTACACCAGAATGCAGAATCATGTATCGTGCAGCAGAAAAGTCAATTGTAAACATACTATTGCTCATACAAAATCAAGTTGTTATCAGGCCTAGATTCCAAAATTGATTTTGGTTGGTCATTATCGACCATTCACCGAGACCTAGGCCTGTTCACCGTGGAGGAGCAGATTGGAAGCCACACAAGTAGACATAGTTACTGGCCACTGAGGCACTGAGGACTGCTTCCTCCCAGGCTGAGAGGCTTAAGCGATTAGATATCCATAAGCTTATTAATCCTCGCGCAGAAGTGCTCGAGGTTAGACTATTCTTATATTTGTAAAAATGTATTGTTAAGTTGCTAAACTTGTATGCACGGACTGAATGCTTATATTAAACATACAAAAAAATTTATCGCAATCATTCAAACTGTATTCAAATATTGATATTTTTCATAGAATTCAATTCAATTGTACAGTGTCATTCCAAGCAGTGAACGTGTTTTTATACCTTCTGGTCAACTCTTAATATGGCTCCTTTGTTCGAATCTAAGCCGCTTTGTCTCCCCATGCTGAGTAAGAACATACGGGGGCGGCGATGCTTCTTCTGTTTCTAACACACTTTCCACAAATCGAATATATGCGTTTTACGCTTCGGGTACAGTGCTCAGAACCTCTTGACAAGACCCAACCCTAAGTGGAGAAAGTGACAGTGAAACTAAAAATATTTCTGACATCAATACAACACATATATATTTATTTATTTATTTAAAAATCAGTAGCAAATAATACTGCCATTTTATACAAAAAAGAAAAAATCGTATAACATAAAAAAAAAGAATTTAGTATTAAAGAAATGCAGCAATACAGTACTAATCTTAAGGGGGTGGGTATCTTAGGCGTGGAAGTAGGCAGCTGTATAACTCCCGGAATTCTTGAAATTTTCAATCATCATTCTATTCGTTCTCCATAAATGCCTATGACAGTCCGTTGTTGTTGCTGCTGCTTTTGCTCAGCTCTGCATAGAAACAACTTTTCCTCGCATGTACGAGTGTGTGTGTGTGTGCGTGTGTGTCTACTCGTAGTACAAGTATTTTATGAGTGATAATTTTTACTTTGCTATTGGAAATAGCATCCAATGCTTAATAAAAAATAGTTGACAAATTGAGCTGCCCATAAATTCTGAACAAAAAGCATTTATCATAGAAAAAGTTGGGGCAAATATTTTGTCTGCACTTGATTGCAACGGTCGGATATGTACGGACATCTCGCTCTTTTGAAGCAAAAAGCAATTTCAATAAATAAATAAATTGGGTCAATGCATTGAGGCTGCTCTCGATGTCGTTCCTATTGTCATTGTCCACGTCTGTTGCTAAGTGCAGAACATAAGTCTGGGTGCGTGTTTGGGGCCCTCAATCCCCTGAAGCTCCCTCACTATTACACTATTGAAGGCAAAGCCGAGCCCAAATGACCGAGCTAGTCACTAGTTGGCTTGGTCCAAGTAGCCCTTGACTGACTGCCTTACTGCCGGACTGCAGTATTCGTAGTAGCAGTAACACACACAGCAAAGGCAGCGACTCATTAGGGTCAGTCAGGTTAACAGCTCGTTGTCGACGTTTTGGCTCATTTATTATGGCCATAATCACTACCGGGGAAAAAAGCGAGACAGTCATTTTGTCGTTCGGTCGTGCACTTTTAGACGCATTATGCAAAATTAAACAAACTAGTTCAGTTCGGTCTTTTGTAAGCTGCATATTTAAGTTGTACAACAGTTGGAAGCCAAGCGATTTGCATATTTTACAAGCGACAACAAAAGTGTTTTGACTTTTCTACTCGGCCAACCAACA